AGAAAAAAAAAAAAAAAAACAAAAGGAAAAAAAAAAGAAAAAAAAAAGAAATACATTGCGGGGGGAATTGAGAAACTTTGTCTCCTGGCGTCTGGATCTGTTGGCTCCTTTTTTTATGGACCTCGTAGAGACCCTCCGCAGTGTCCAAGTCCGCGCATCCTTAGCCCCAGCATCACTGTCTTATGATTTTTTTTTCTTTAAAAAAAACAAACATGAACCCCCCCTCCCCTCGCCCTTCACTTCTCTACGAACCGTTGACGGTGACAGACAGGTTTGCTCTGCGTTTAGGTCCTTGAATTAAACAGTCTTGCCTTGAGATGTTTCGTGTATTTAAAGCTGGAATGACCCCGTTGGAAGCTGGGCCTTGGGGAGTTCGCAAGCGGTGCGTTGACCAGGAAGGGGGAACAAGCGATGAAACCCTAAAAGCAAAGGCAAAAGCAACCAACCCACGCGAAGTAAATTGCCAAGGTCCAGCTGCTCCGTTCCAGTCCTAGCGCATTCGTTTAGCCTGTGGTGGTGGTTTTTCCTCTGAGGTGTGGGACGGAGCAGGGGCTGCTGCGTGTGGAGCGTGGCGCCGTCACTGGAAGGTACAGTATTCCTCTTCGGCTGGCTCCGCTAGGGAGCGCCAGCCCTGGGCCCTGCTCCCGGAGGGCCCAATCAGCTTTGTCTCGTAAAGGCTTGTGATATGAACCCTCAAATAAACATGTAACACTTCGCCTTTGTGCACCTGAGCCCTGGGCTGCTCTTTATTTTCCAGACTGGGGTGCCGTAGGGACTTGGTCTGTGCCCATCTCTCCGCGCTGCTGCTGAGACCTGCTCCTGCAGGCTACGGAGAACCCAGCCCGGCTCCCTGCGGCCCTGCCGGCAGCTCCTACGGCAGCAGGTCTGAGCAGCCAGCGGTGGCCCATGGGATGTGCTCAGGGTTTAGTGCCTGAAGTTTTCAATGAGCTACTGCACCCCCTGCTCGGAGCAGCCTGGTGCCTGTTTCTGCTGCCCAGTAAACACAGGGCTCCTGATGATGGGCCTGGTAGGGCGCGTTGGGGCTAGGGGTCTCGGTGCACAGGGAAAGCCGAGTTGGCAGGCATCTGGCTTGTGCCATAGCTTCGGGGGGCTCTTGCCGAAAGGTTCCTCAGGCTGAGGGGGGAAATTCCCAAATGCTTCCAGCAAAAAGCCATCTCCCAGCTGTCCAGGACCCGCTGCCCAGCTGCAGCAGCTGTCCTGGGACCCTGGTGCTGCTCTGGTGCAGTGTGTCCTTGCTCACTTGCCATGGGCAGAGCTCCCAGGGGAACAGGCACAGGCAGATCCCTGCAGCAGCTGCTGGCAGAGCTTGTAGCCAGCTTCCACCTCCAGGGCCCTGGCTCCCTGACTGGCTGGGGGAGTTTGGGAAGAAGATCTGAGTGGCCCTGGCATGAGCAGGGGCTGCCAGTGCCTCCTTCTGCCCCTTGCACCCCTGGGTTGGGCTCAGTCAAACCTGTACCCACCCAGGGGCAGGAGCAGATCAGGTGCCCTCACTGCTGCAAACAGACTTAGCTGGTAGCCTTGCTCTGGTAATACCATAGGGCTGTCCCAAGGCACATGGCTGCTGGCTGCCATAGCCTCCCCCAGAGCCAAGCTCTGGGTTCGAGGCCCCTTCCTCTCCCTTTCAGTAATGAGGGACCTGCCCCCACCTGGTTTGGGCATCTGAGCTGCATAAGGGGAGGGATGGCCCACCGCAGAGGTGCACTAGCTCCTTAAAAACCAATGGGCAGAGCAGGGCTCCAGTGGGAGCGCAAGGGAGGCTGCCCTAAGACAGTAGCTGCTGCCCTCCAGGCTGTGTGGGAGGCTGCTTTTGTGTTGGGCTGAGGGGGAGGACACGGGACGAGGCGGGATGGAAACGGCCAGGTGAGCATGACTCCGGGGACGCGGCCTGCGTGGCTGGAAGCAAGGATACTGCATCTCCCAGGAGCTTGCCCTCGGCCAGTTGCACTGTCCGCTCGCCAGTGACTTGTACCTTCGCACTTGGTGTTGTAAGCTGCGTTATCCCGGTTCTGTTCCCCTTTCATTTTGGTGAAACGAGCCCCGGCGGGCCCGTGTCACCACCTGACTTCTTGCCCCGACCGTGTCATTGCTTGTCAACTTGCTGGGTTCAGTTTGCTTTCTTTTTTTTTCCTCTGAGCTGCACACAACTGCAATTAGACTTGGAAACTCTGTAAGGGCTGGAGGAAGACGCGTTTCCCCGACCCCTGTATTGTTCTCTTGCCACACCTGGCCCGACCTGCGTCGACATTGCTATGCATGGCTCCAACGGACTCCGATGCAGGCCTCGACCATCCTGAAAGCCAGCTGGCTGCACGAGATTTCCTGGTAGTTTTCTTAGCTAAACTCCCAGGTGGTTTTTTGTTTGTTTTGTTTTGTCCCTTTTTTCCTTAAGGATCATTTGCCAGAAAGGATTAATTGATGCATTTTGTGTTGTCTTCCCCCTCCAGTAGTTTCTTTTGTCTTTTTCTGCACCTGTCGACTAATAAAATGTGAAATAAAGCTCCCTGTATTGGTATGGCCCTGGCACTCAGGTCCCTTTATTTACTTGCAGATTGAAGTGCAGAGCAGCTCCCCCTCTTCCAGGGGTCCTGGATGCTCAGGAGCTTATGGGCTACAGGAGCCTACCTGGATCATTGATGGGGGCAGGAGACCAGCCCTGAGAAGTATTGGTGCATCCATTCACAGAGGTGCTGGAGTGATTGAACTAGCTCAGTGGTTGTCCTCTTGCAACAAGTGTGAGGGGACCTGAGATTATGGGGAGTTGCAGAAGGGTAGGGTCCTACAAGAACTCAGATGCAAGGCACTAGGTTCAGGTTCTGGTCTTGTTAGGACTAAAGGCTGCTCACTTGCCTCCTCTCTTCACAGTCTTACTCCCAAGCATCCTGCTGTTACTTTAGTAGTTGGAGAACAAGATGGAGCTAGAACAGAAGGGGCTGTAACTACCACTGCTGCCACACAGGAGAAAGGGTGGTCTTCCCAAAAGCTGGCCTGCAGTAGTCTTAAGTGGCTGGTGATGCTGGCTCAGCCTCTTCTTAAACTCCTTTCTCCAGGCTGTTCCTGCTGAGCAAGGTTTTGTTCACACTAGTAAGCTGAACTCTTAATTCAAGCTCGTGTTGGATTGCTGGGGCTGGTTCCCAGCCAGTACCAGGTCTGGTGCCTACAGTGACCGTCTCCTACAGTGCTAGAAAAGACCTTATGCTCAAACTGACCAGGGAAGGTCAAGTGCTCACAGGATCATCTAGATGCAAATCAAAGCCAGTGCCCGAGGCAAATAGAGCTGCTCTGGTGCTGCCAGCAAGTTACTACTGTCTTGACCTCTGACTTATGTGCATCTCAGAGCCAGTGCTACTGGCCTCATTAGCAGGAGGAAGGTGCCCTCAGCCCATCTGCTCATGGGTGCAGAGGCAGCTCAGGGCATTTAGAAAGCAAAAAAACCAACCACCCCAACTTGCAAAGCTACTCAAGAGCCTGCCTCCATGGCAAGCAAAGGAGAGTCCTGCTGTAGCCAAGACCTGGCAGTCTGCCTTATGCAGGCCTGAGTCCGGCAGCCTGCTGCAACGGTCGCTTTCCTGGCACAGATATGCCTGCCTGTGGTCCGAGGGCTGCCTCGGTGCTTGTTTCGCTGCTTTTAAAAAACTAAACCCAGGTAGGGCTGACAGCCACGTCTGAGTCAGCCTTGAGCTGAAAGCCGCCAACAAGGGTGGAGTGCGCTACTCGAGCAGGATGCTCCTGGTGCCTCACCAGTGCTGCCTGCAGGTGTAGGGCCAGGGGGGGCAGCTCCAGCCCAGCTTTCCAGTTCTCCACCGCAGGACAGGCTGCAAGGAAGGGGACCAGTCTCAACTGGATACAAGATGGTAAGGAGAAAGGTAGCCAGGCTGTGGATGTGGATCCCTGCACAGAAAAGCCCTGCCTCACCCACTCCAGGTGCTGCCATCACTGCTGGCCCACCCTGCTCTTGGCAATGGGGGCCCCTTATTCAGCTGTATCCTCATTTTGCCCAAGTTTTCCAATCACCTAAACTGCTCTGTGGCTGCAGGAGCCATCCTGGAAGCTAGCTGGGGCTACCATGACCATCTGCAAAGCCTTTGTGAGGAAAAGGTGCTGAAGACTGTTCTTGGTAACAGGTGACTTATGATCCTGGGACCCCCCACCTGGGACCCTATTCCCACCTGAGCACGTGGCTGTCACTCCTCAGAGCTGGTATCAACCACCCATGTAGCATGGACCCACTGCATGTTACCTCTGGCTTGTCCAAAGCGACTGGTGCACCACACCGCTTGCTGCCAAAATGCATCTGAATTGGGGGAGCTGATCTAGCCAGAGCCCCTGTAAGATGGCTGCTGCTGCTGCTACTTTTCCTTTGCTTCCCCTCCAGCAGCTGCATGAAGGGGGCAGGGTCCAGCAAGGGCAGCTCAAGGGGCAGCGGTGGTGGTGCAGCAGTGCCATGTCTAGCCAGGCAGTCAAATGACTTCACCGCTCGTTATAATGCATCTAATGCCTGCTTACTTGCACTTCACTTTTACTATTATCAACCCTCTCTCCTGTTCTGTTCCACTAATCAAGCTAGCTTTTCTTCAGCAATTTTCTGGGTCTCTCATCCATGGCTCTGCAGACTATTTTTAGCTCTTCCAAAATCCTGGAAGTGCCCATGGAGTTGTCTTCAGCAGCAGGAATAGTTTCAGCTTTTGGCTGAGCAGCCAACAGCTGCTGCCAATTCAGCAGGGATAGGGCTAAAAACTAGCTTCTGCCTGAGCAGGAAAGAAAAGGGGAGTGAGCTCTGATGAGGCTGTCCCTGCTCTAGGCAGCCAAAACCCTGGAGAAGTCTTTTCTCCCTTCACGCAGCCTTCCCAGGACTCGAGTTTG